TCGATCAGAGAGTTATTTCTTTTTAATAATATTGGTTTGTTTCATAAGTGAGAATCTACGATGTTCCTTTAAAAATTCTGCATGAAATTTTCTCAAAAAGCAAATAATGAACAAGTTGTCATCTAATTATATTTTCTTTTCTTGTTTATAGAATGAAAATGAAGCAATGAGTTAAATCAAAGATTTTCTAACATAGCATACTGGTTTCATCTGCATAGTTTGAAAATGATATTGTGTGACTATTTTGACTCTCATAACACACAGATTTCATAAATTCATTTTAAAAACAACAATCTGAAATAATAAGTTGTCTTTTATTTGAAAACAAATCATCTGATCTTCTATTATGCACATCAACCACAATTTTCTGTAATGTTCAACTTCCATATCTACGCTTTTGCATTGTTCTTAAAAAGGAATGAAATCGAACCATCAAAGGTAGTTTAGGCATTTTTCAAGTTTTTAGTTGCCGATTTAAGGAAACTGACGGTAATTAAATATTGTGCTAAACTATATGTAACCATGATGGGTAAATTTGCTAAAGGAATGGGTGCGACAAAGTGATTGAATGCTAGTATCGAGTCAGACATAATGAAAAGTATTGCTCCAAGAAAGAGCAACAAATAACCGGGTACTTTGCGATCACGTAAATAGGCTGCGTAACTCATGCCAATAATTACACCTCCATAGATAATAACAGGTAAGAGAAAATCTCCATTTAAATGCGGATAAAGAATGTAGAGAGCGATTGCGAAATAAGCCAAAAAAGGAATAACTGAAACAAGTGTTACCGATAAAGCTGCGTGTCGTCGTTGTTCATCTTGAGCGAAAAACAAAATAATATAAGCAATGTGAGCAAGTAAAAAGACTACCAAGCCAGCAATGAATACATCATCGCGAAGTTCTATGAATAATATATCACCCACACAAGAAAAAATGAGTGCCATTACAAAACAGATACGTTTGATGAATAAAGTTTTTTGTGCATTGAACATAAATAAAGCCAAGAGAACAGGCATAAGCAACGGTTTCGATGCCGTAATGATGGTAAAATTTCGAGTTGCTTCGCCGTAAAGTTCAATGATAAGTAGGAAGAAAAACAATGTAGTCAATATTCCAAAGAAGCGCATCGTTGCTTTTTTTTTCTTTGACTGAAGTGATATTCTTTTTCTATTCAAATGCAAAGAAACATCTTTATCTTTTTTAGTATTTATAAGCAATCTTAGTGAATGTTTGTCTTTGAAGACACAAGAAGAACTACACATGTTGCTTCAATCGTGGAAAGATATCACACACGAGCATAGAAAACAAGTCATCGTTCTATATGATCGATCTCACTTTGATTAAAAAGAAAGCCGAAGTCCACTTAGAAAAAAATCAAATGATTGATCGACAAACGTTATTTATAGTTATGATTTAATTTCTACACTTCTTATTATATTAGACGTGACAGAAGTGATGAAGCCGAATTCGAATGAAATCCCAGGAAAATAGATACGATTCTAATGTTTTATTCCTGATATCGTGTCTGAAGAAAAGCAAAAGATCGAGAATTGAAAAAAAAGAAACTAAATCTAATGCATGTCTGCATTTTATCTGACCTCGCGCAGAACTCTATTCATATCAAAGTTGTGAATGTAGATTTTAAACTTTTCTATATCTGATTCTCTACTTGCGAAATTCATAGAAAAAAAAATTCACTATCCAATGTTCCATTGTCGACAATCAAGGTTTGCAAAGAATTTATGTATCACGAAAGATATCCGAGAAAATGTACAATAAGGAAAATCCTTTGTTCTTTACTATCACGTCGGAAAATAGCTAAAAGTTTTGCACTATTGAAGATAAGTTTCAGAATTTGATTAGTCCATTTTATAATAGAAGACAATTAAAATTTTGGTGTAACTCTGCACAAAGAACGTATTCATTTGAAGTCTTGAGATTATTGGAACCTTTTAGGTACAAGGAAGTATATATTATGTAATTTAATGGAAAACGTGCCATCTTTACATCGATGCCCTACAAAGTACACTATTTATTCACTATTTGTAGCGCTCGATGAGCTGAACATTTGATCTAATTTGAAGATCTTAGATGTAAGGATGATACTTTTTCCATGAAATTACATAATAAACCCATTTATCACTAAAGATTAACAGGATCTGAAGAATTCGATGAACATGTCATTCACTGTTTTCTGATGAAAAGAGTTTTTGTTATCAAATGCATGATAGCCCGACGAAAAAATGTGAAGAAAAAAAAGACTTTCCAGAAAACTGGTACGTGTTCTATGGATCGACCGCATATTCTTTAGAAAGTCTCACATCAACGATGAATTCGTTCAAATTATTTTTAAATCTTCCGTCGAAATAGAAGGACGTATCATTATACGATATATGGATACATTGTTACTGCTATAGTCGTCCTCTATCGTAATTCACTTCTTTCAAGTATTTTCTGTTGAAAGTAAGCCTTTTTTTCATAAGAAATAAACTATTGCTAGTGATTAGTGCTCCGGAAAAGACGAATATTACTAAAAATTGTTAACGAGAAAACGCATGGCATTCACATAAAATATTCGAATACCTCCTGTCATATTTTTCGTTAGTTAGAAATGAATTGATGAAAATAGAATCAGTAGATATATAATCTTCTTTACTTTAGTACAAAATATTAGTTATCAATCACGTCGACCGTTCACACTATCAATAACTTACTGAAAATTCAAATTATTGTAGTAAAAATCGGCCTATGTACGTTGTATCACTGATTATGTCGTTGACGAGAAATTGGAATGAAAATCGTGGAATATATTGTCACTGTATCAAGTCCTATGCCTGAAGGCTTTAACAACTGTTTCCTTTATATTGCTTCGTTGTTTTTTTGTCCTTGTTTTTATAGTTTTGCCTTTCTCTTCATGTTGCATATGTGACTCACTGTGGTATTACCAATAGAAAACACAGCAAAGAAAACTGTTGAATGATTGTCGCCACCATCGCTACGGCAATTAGATATTGTGTCTTGATTCGTTTCCTTAATATAGACGAATAGTTTTTTCAAAATTTGACCCCAAACCAAACACTAGGAAAAAAATCGTTGGTAAAACTGGTAGAACTTGTTCAAACATTGATCAGCCAGATACAGAACGAAACTCGCCCAATTCGTAGAATAATCTTCCATTTCGATGAGTCAGCCGCTACTCAGACCTCTATTCAATTCATTCGTTTCGATAATAGTCTATGGCAATGCTCATCAATGATAGTTCATGATGAAAAATCATTAGTAGTCAGCATTCGTTGTGTCGATAATATTGTTCATGGAAAATAAAAGATATGGGTTTATTTTTGAATTTTATTTGAAAAATCAGAAGATATTTTAATCTATAATAAATGAAAATATTTGTAGAAATCTTTTGAATCAGCAAATACTCGCTCAGTAGTTAATCGTTTCACGTTTTTACAATTGCGTCCCCCAATATCTCGTGTAAAATTCTCTGTTACAATTCTTAACTCTTCATAAGTACTGTGAATACAGTGCAGGGTTGTCGATTGTTTTGAAATATGGGAGGGGCTAAAAAATTCGCCAGAAAATCGGAAAATTTTGGCAGAAAGTACCTCATTTTACATGTCGACAGCAACCGAACAAATAATGCTACTTTCGTCGACTTCCTGAGAGATTTTGTGGAAAAAAAAGTGTTTTTATTCGATTTTCTGCCAGAAAAATGCCAAAAAGTGCTTAAAAATCGGTTTTCTGCAAGAATTTACAATGAGACTTTTTAAATTTTGGCAGAAAGTATTGGAAATTTTCGCAGCAAAGCGGACGTGTTTT